GGGATTTTGGGATTCCCTCTTTTCCTGGGATTTGTGGGAATTCCCGATTCCTCTTTTTTCCCCCCAAAAATTGGGTAAAAACTCCTGGGAATTCCGGGAATTTCCCCGCAGGAGCCGAGCATGAGGCGCTCCCCGGAATTCCCAGAAAATCGCCCGGAATTCCCGGAAAATCATCCCAAATTCCCAGAAAATCACCCGGAATTCCCAGAAAATCGCTGGGGGGACCCCAAACCCGGCCCCCTCTGGAATCAGGAGGTGAGTGCCGGGATTTGGGAATTTCGGGTCGGGAATTCGGGAATTCCGACGGATTTGGGGTCAGGAATTCGGGATTTGGGATCGGGAATTTCGGATCAGGAATTCGGGAATTCCGGTGGATTTGGGGTCAGAAATTCAGGATTTGGGATTGGGAATTTGGGAATTCTGGATCAGGAATTCGGGAATTCCCGCCGGGATGAGCCGGGGTTGCCTTGGAGGAGCCGCTCTTCCCAAAACTTTGGGAATTTTGGAAAATCCCAAAAAAAACCCTCGGAATCTGGAGGGTTTTTCCTTCCCTTCATCCGTCCTGATCCTGGGAAGGAAAAGCGGGATTTTTCCGGGATTTTTCCGGGATTTTCCTGGGGTTTTTCTGGGATTTTTCCAGGGTTTTTCCGGGATTTTTCCAGGGTTTTTCCGTGATTTTTTTTTTTATTTTTCTGGGATTTTTCCGGGATTTTTCCGGGGTTTTTCCGGGGTTTTTCTGGGGTTTTTCTGGGATTTTTCTGGGATTTTTCCAGGATTTTTCCAGGAGTTTTCCTGGGATTTCTCCCGGATTTCTCCTGGATTCATTCCAGAATTATCCACGATTTATCCCCTGATTTATTCCGAGTTTTCTCCCCGATTTCCCCCCAATTTATCCCCAATTTCCCCTCAGATTTTTCCCGAATTTTTCCCAAATTTCTCCCGGGATTTTTAACTCGATCCCGCCCCAGAAATGGATTTTTTAAAATTGAATTTTAACGGAAATTGTGATTTTTCAGCCCGATTTTCACCTGCAGGAGGCCGGGACGGTGCTGAGGCTGCGGCTCCCGGGGGAACCCCGGCCCAAGCAGAAGGTGCGGAAAAAACGGGAAATTTGGGGGAAAA